CCGGGGCACGAACCCGTGTCCCCTGCATCGGCAGGCGGACTCTCAACCACTGCGCCACCTGGGAAGTCCCTGCCTTGATCCATTCTTAACATCTTGAGCTTTCTCAGAAAATTCAGTTCTGTTTTAACTGAAGTTTCCTTTCTACATTTAAGACCATTTTGTCCTGTTCTTTTTTTAAGTGAAAATAGGGAAGAGATTTTTTTCCCTGCATTTAATTAACATTAAAATAGGGATGTTATTAAGCCAAATCGTCAGTCTTATTGCCTCCATACTTAACAATTTATATTTTTTGTTTGTTGTTTATATTGCCTCATAAATTTCTGCTTTCCAGCCCCTTAAATATTTTAGTCCGTGGTATAGATTTAACTTAGCAATAAAGATTACACTTTTAAGAGTGCTATTCATTTTATTGAGTATTTATGAATGGAATGGGTATAGCCTTTTTTCAGTTGTTTAGATTTAACTTTACATGTATTTAATCAGGATCAACATAAGTACATTTTTACTATAGTGGTAACATGATACAATGTAGAAGACACACAGCTCAAGTGTTGAGTAGTAAAGGAGTAATATCCTTGTGTCAAGTTTCATAGCATATAGCTACAGGAAACATTATCTTGCCACTTTCATTTCTTTATTATATTCACTAAACATAAAATTATAGACTCTTAAGCTTTAGAAAGGACTTTAGAAGACTTTCTTCCAAGTGCCAAAATCCTCTTCTCAGTAACCACGATTAGGGGTCATTCAGTGGCTTTTTACATTTAGATAACAGGAACCTCTGCTAATCTTGAACATGGTCTGATATTTCTGAGTTTTGGACGTAATGACTTGATATCAAGCTGAATTTGTCTTCCTGTGATTTCTAATTTGTGACTAATTCTCTCTGCAGTTACATAGAATCAGTCTGAATCCTTTTCTATGACTTTAATTAAAGCATTTGAAGATATATATTAGGCCCCTGTCTATATCTTTTTACAAATCAATTTTGCCCCCCCCCCAGCAAAATGTTGACTTAAACATTAATAAAAGTATAGAAAAGAGCTGCCTGCTTGGCAGAGTTCTATAATGGCTATTTTTTTTCATAGCATCTCAACAGAGCGCCACCGTGCTGAAGTTCGGAGAGCAGTAAACGATGAACGGTTAACAACAATTGCACATAAGTAAGCCATTAGTCATACCACCCCTGATTTTTCATGACGTAGTATACCGTAGTTTTGAAAGTCTTCCTATTGTGTAGCAGATTCCTGAGTCTTTTATCTTGATAGTAATATCTCTGTACTCAGGGATCCTGACCATAGCTGTGTTAACTATTTATTCAATTGGTTATGTTTTTGCATTTGGTTAGGCAAGCTTTAAGTACTCAGGTCAAATCCTGTTGCAATGTAATCTCTGTGTAACTAAAGGCCTCCACAGTTTAGCAGACGATTCCTTTACTTGAAGCAAAGTTCAATAAGAAAGTAGTGTGCTCCCCAAATTTGACAGCCCCTTAGAGTTACTTTGTAATAGTATTTGATATGTATATTGCTTTATAAATAGGCATTATAAATTTTTGATAACTGACTAATATTTCATGTATTTTGAGATTCAGCAAAAAGATTGTAAAATATATGTTTTGCTTTTAAGAAATATGACTACAGTATACCTTAATTTACTTTGAAAAGCCAACAAAATAAAATTGTAAAGGATTCTTATCAAACTGTTTTCAGATCATTATAACTATTTGATAGATGGGGTGGAGGGTGGTGGAAGACACAGACTGAGCATTAACAAAGTATGTATGGAGACAGTGCCTCCTGAAAAACAGAAAAGAACAGAAATTATCCTTTAAATGTTAATGCAAGATGGTAGGAACATTTTATAAAATAAGGTATGTTATAGAATATTCATCTGTTTTTTATTTTTATGTTTTAATGTGAAATAAAACTAAAGGAAAAAATTCAGTACATTTCCATAATGTAATAAATAATGCTTTTAACCCAGTTGGCAGTATTGTATTGACCCTGAAGATCCATTAGCTTCATGTGGTGCTTTTATGTTACTGATTTTACTCGACTGATAAAATGGGGGTGCTACCCTTTTAACTGTGTAGTTTGAAAGTTAAGCTGTTTGAATTTGGAGATTTTTCAGTGGTTGGTATGTATGCACTGTAGAAATTTGAAAATTTTCCTCTAGCATCATTAAGTATTTACTTGTTAGGCCAACATGGCTAAAACATTCACATATTGTGTTCCTTCTTTAAATGCTCTAAACTTTTAAATGGGGATACTCTAAAAATAGTAACTGAGCCTAGATTCTAATTTGAGAACTTGTAATAGGAAACTTATGTGCTAGGTAATAAAGTAGTAAATAATAGTTTGCATTCAGAGGCACTTAGAGACAAAATTAGTACCTTAAAAGCATTGGAACAGTATTGTGGGGCAATTAGTTGTAAGTTGATGCATCAGTTTCATACTTAAAGATAACACTTATTTAGTCTCCTTTTCCTTTTTTCCCCTTTAAAGAATGAATTTATCCTTATATTTGGGTGAAAGACCAAGTTACAGGTATGCAAATAGGTTATTATTATTTCAGGCTTTTTCTTGTATTTATTTCAAAGTTGAAGCTCTCAATTATTCAGGGGCACATATTCCATTTATGAATTAACCGTGCCCCTTGCTTTTACTTCTCTTCCCCTCCTCCCCTTCCTTCCTAATACTGCCCACCCTTTAGCTATTTTGCTGCTTGAAAGTACCTCTAGTCAGAGGGTGGGAAGGGAGAGGAGGTGAAAATTTTAATTACTCATTTTACTACTTGTTAGTTGTCCTGGGAGAGGTTTGATGGAAGAATTTACAAGTATTTGCCAAAGTATTTTTGGATAATATGTCAGTTTCTTTGATCTGTTTGACCTCTCCCTTTCCCTCTCTCTGTTAGCATGGATAATTGAGAGTTGGCTTCTATCTACCTGTTTCCTCTTTTTTTCTCTCCTTTCTGATTTCTTTAACACATAAATTTAATTTTTTGAAAACCGTTTACTTCAGTGTATAATTTTAAGCTACTTAGGTCTTTCCATACTCCTGTTTTAATATTTTATATTGTGGTTTTAGTTCGACCAGACGTCGTATTTACTTGTTGAGCCCAAGGGTCAATGAGTGGGGAATGGTGAGGAAGACATAGATCCCTCATTCTGTCCGTCTCCTCTGCCCTCTTTCCCCCA